ATCCATAATTAATTAACACAGTCAATTGTGAAGTCCAGAAATATGTTCATTTTCATGTAATGCTTCAAAAACCATCTGTCCCATTTTAAAGTTTAGCTGTCTTAATTCTTCCATGGTCCGCTATTCTCTTCAGTATCAATTTCAAATTTCCCTAAGCCAGAGTCTTCTGTATATGCTGGAATTACAACCTCCATAAGCCACAGCTAGAACTTCCAATAACCACAATAAAACCAGTGTTTGCTCACCTTTTGTCAAATGTTTGGGGATTGCAACTTGAGGCCTTCATAATGGAAAATGTAATCCAGGTCATGAAAAAACATTCCAGATGAAGAAAGATAAGGTAGAAATTTCGGAGATACTTAGTGCAATCCGCAAACATCGAAATTAACTTCGTCTGAGATGGCAAAGTTTAGAAACATGCAAGAACTAAGAACCCCGAACAACAATTTATAACGCAGTCCCTTTCAGCAGTTCCAAGGTAGTGTCTCAGGGCAGTAACTTTATTGAATTCTACTGTACAGTGCAATATTAATGCAATATCAGGGGTTTTCAATTCAATGTATAGAATGTGAAGGATGTGTGTTTGTGTTTATTTTCATAGTCATAATGTACACTGAAGATGGTTGTACAAGGTGCAATGACAATAAAGTAACCTAAACTAAACTAAACCAAGAAGGTTCCATGCCCATTTGCAGTGCAAATGTCTTCTTTGTCTTCTTCTGTGGAACCAAGGTTTCATACCTTCTTGGTTCCACAGAAGAAGACAAAGAAGGACAAGCACTTGTTCCTCGTTGTTCAGAAATACAGAACATGGAATAACTGAGTTATGGAAGGATAAGGTCTGTTTAATACAGAATAGTTCAACAGTAAATTCACAAGTATGATTAATCCCTTTTAAAAGGGTATTTTCAGGCACAGATTGGAGAGAAATCTGAGTGGGCAGATTTAATTTGAATTTCTGTACTAGGGCCTTTCTAATTCTACTTCCCTAAAGGAGAGGTGTAGACTGGAATATTTCACTACAGGTATTATCTGTTAACTGCTATCAATCCCAGAAGCAGAATATATCTGGATCTTAAATACAGGAGACAGATATCAAACAGAATAACACAGTTGGAAGGAACCTTGGAGGTCTTCTAGTCCAACCCCCTGCTTAGGCAGGAAATCCTACACCACTTCAGACAAATAGTTGTCCAATCTCTTCTTAAAAACCTCCACTGTTGGAGCATCCACAACTTCTGGAGGCAAGTCGTTCCACTGATTAATATTTTTTTTAATTGTCAGAAAAATTATTCTTATGTCTAGGTTCTTTCCTTCATTAGCTTCCATCCATTGCTGTCTTTGGAGAATAGCTTGACTCCCTCTTCTTTGTGGCAGCCCCCGAGATATTGGAGCATTGCTATCATGTCACCGCTAGTCCTTCTTTCCATTAAACTAGACATACCCAATTCCTGCAACCATTATTCATATGTTTTAGCCTCTAGTCCTCTAATCATTTGTCTTGCTCTTCTCTGCAATCTTTCATTTTTTTTAAATATTGTGGCGACCAAAACTGAATGTAGTATTCCAAGTGTGGCCTTACCAAGGCATTATAAAGTGGTATTAACACTTTATGTGATCTTGATTCTCTACCTCTCAAAAAGGAACTCTGGAAAAGGAATTTCTTTGACTTCATCATCTTAGACAGAAGATGGGCCAGTCTTCCATCTTAAATGCCTGCACTTTGCATGCTCGTGCTTCCTTCCTTCCTTCCTTCCTTCCTTCCTTCCTTCCTTCCTTCCTTCCTTCCTTCCTTCCTTC